TCATATGACTGTCCCAATAGAAAAGTGCTCTTGTTTATCTGAAGTATTTAGTATCTGGATATAAGGTGGTCCATGGGTTAGAATGGGATGCAAGTCAGAGCAGGATTTGGGCCAGGGCTATGAGACGTTTAGCTGCCAGATTCCACGACCAATAATAATGCACCCCAGCCCTTTATTTCCTCACCTGCCTGTTTACAAAGACCACTCACATGTAAAAAATGTTGCTTACTTAACTAAGCTCATTTTCTGATAGAAATAATGAAAGATGTTTAGGATTTATTGAGCAATTTTATCTGATTTATGAAAGCCACTTTTGTCCACTCTACTCTTTTCTATTACAATTAAGTGTACCGTACTGGGAATACAGAGCTAATGCCCTCGAGGAAGACCATGTGACTGCAATTATTTATGAATTAACATGTCACAGATTTGAAGCTTTGAGACAAACACATTTCCCAGCTGCACATTTGTGACTTCTGAGTTTGTAAATGGAACAGATGAAATAATGACTTGCTCTTCCTCTCTATTCCTCTTACATACAGGTTAGCTTACTTGCATGGTACGTAAAGACAGGTAGGAATACTTATGTAGATATTTACCATTCACAGAGTGTAAATTAAACATGCCATTCCTTTATCAGCTATGATAACAAATGCTTGATGCCAGACTGTATTTCCCTACTAGTGATGCTATCATTGTTTTTAATACTCCATTTGCCTTTAGAGACACAGAAATAATTTCTGAATGCTAATGCTGCTTAAAGCCAACACAATGCAGGAGTAAAACCCTACAAGAGTGAACTGCTTTAAAAAGCACACTAACATATGCTTAGCTAATGCTTTAACTTGATTTGTGCTTTGGGAGCCGAACAATAATTTGACTGATATTATTAGATACATACTTGTATGGTTTGTCCTGCAAACTTAAAAGTCAAGCTGAAATCAAACTCAGATGTCTTAATCGATAGCACAAACATAAAGGCAAGAAATATATGTAGAATACATATGGTTTTGCTGTCAGATATAAACAAGTGTATCTGATACACATACACACATATATTTGTTAGCTGACTATGTAAATTGAGATGAAAGCCCATTTTCAAGCATGACCTGCGATAAACAAATGCATATAAATAAACAATAAACCAAGATAACACTAGAATAACATCAATTAAAACAATTACAACAACTTCTAGTCATCACGAAGTATTGTTTCAGTTCCATCTTAAAACAGGAAGAGCTCCCAATTGTTCTTAAATCAACTGGTAACTGATTCCACATTTGTGGAGCCTTGAAACAAAAAGCTTTTTATCCCTATTTTGTATTCATTCTAGGACATGGTGGTTCCACAGACTGAATAGAGTGTAATGTATAAGCTGCTCCAAGTAAACGTAGCAGGTTGAAATAGTGGTCACTGATTGACACAGTGCTATAATTGCTATTTTATATACAAATTTTAAAAGCAAGACTTTGCAGGGAAGAGTTGTCATATTTAAAGTTGACATGACTGGTAAGTTGGAAGTGCAATTCAGATCTATGTAGTTTTACACAGCATTTGATATTGTGCCAGATAAACACACGTAAGTACAGAAAAAAAAAGACATAATAGAAAAATAATAATAATAATAATAAAAAAAACCTTGGAATTCTGATAACCATTTCTTTCTAAAACAACCTCTTCATTCGTATTTGCAAACAGCAAAGTATAGAAGTTAACAGTTATTTTTTTTTATATATATATATTTATAATGCACTCATTTTCTGTCTCTTACTTAAACATATAAATAAACCATCAAAAATAATTTTCTCTTCTTCAGAACCATTTGTTTTCCAGGTACTGCTTTCCACTTTTTCCCTAGATAAGTCCTCAGTAGTCTGGAGAACTGGTAAGATGATGACATCAAAAACGACAACAGATTGGAAGCTGTTTAATAACAGAAGGATGGGACATTTACATTATACTATTTAAAAGTTGTCATTTTATTTCTATTAGCACTTCTAGGACTAAAATTCCCAACAAACACATGAGAAAAAGGCTCAGTCGGCCCTTTAGGAAAGGGCTCTGAATACTGCCAGTTGCAAAGTCCTCTAGAAAGTCTTCATGAAAAGGGGGGAAGCGTACCAAGATTTGATGCTGCCAAAGTTAAAAATAAAGCAAAGATAAAAGTGAAAAAACTGTGGCTGTTTTTTCTTTATAATTCACAAAGGCACAGTAATGGACGGAGCAAAAAGGAGTAATTTTTACCCTTTTCCACTCCTTTATATAGGTCAGATTCAGGGGATTGCTGCACTGCCACTGAACCCCTGAAAATGAATATTCTGAAAATAGAAAAAGGAAGGGTGGCATGTCTGGAAAGGCGAGATGTCTGCGTGAGAAAGGCATTTTGGAAAAGAGCCCGTCGCCCACGAAGTGCTCCAGAATAAAGTAATCAAAACTGTGTCTGAGGCAAGTCATGACTTCTGCAAGCAGACAGGAAAGAAGGCCCATGTCATCACTGCTGGTGTCCATAAGTGGTGTGAACAGGATACTGTGCAGTGACCCTTTCACAAGCACATGAGAAGAAGCACACAGACTTGCTTTGCCCCTGAGCACCCGCTACTGCATCAGGTCAGTGGTCACAGTTTGCTACTGCTCAGTATCAGCCACTTCCCTCAGATCAATGGAGGAACTGCAAAAATTGAGTTTCACAGAAAGCGGACTGCTCAAATGGAGGAAATATATCCATGCATCAATTTATGATATTGGAGACTGCAAAACTGCTGGACCAAAGCATTGCAAATGGAAGAAGAGGACAGTAGGTCATGGTTAATACTTTCACAGAGGTGGCTCACTTTCCAACCAGTCTGAGCTCTACCTCCTGTGCTGCTGTCTACCACAATGCCCTTTTATTCTGGTTTCATGCTAAGGATGAGGATTTTGAAATCTAATGCCATGTCTGCCCAAGAAGTGAACCATGCTATTTTTAGCTTCCCAGCACCTGCAAAGGCACAGAATGCAACTGTCCTGGGAGGTGAGCAATTCAGTCAGCCCAGCTGCCTGCAGTAGCTAACAGAGTCCTGTTTTATCCTCACAGTTATTCACATTATGTCTTACATAAATATCATTTATTTATTTATTTATTTTTGTGTGTGTGTAAATGCAAAAAATATCTGGAGGGGAAAAAAAACATACTGAGATCAAAAACACGTCCCCAAAGTAAATGCTAGGAAAAGGTTTCAAGTTGTGCCAGGGGAGCTTAGAATTGGACATCAGGAAGAATTTCTTCATGGAGAGGGTGGTCAATCATTGAAATGGACAGTCCAGGAAGGTAGTGGAGTCCGCATCTCCAGAGCTATGAAAGAGATGAGTGTATGTGGCATTAAGGGACATAGTCTAGTAATGGGACTCCGTTGGTCAGATTGACAGTTGGGCTTCATAGAATCATAGAATACTTTGAATTGGAAGAGACCATAAAGACCATCTAATTCCCTCCATCTCCCCTCCCTCCCCCCCCTCCCACACACACACACTGTGGTCAGGGATGCCACCGACCAGACTAGGTTACTCAAAACCCTATCCAAACTGACCTTGAACACCTCCAAGGTTGGGACATCCACAACTTCTCTGGACAACATGTTGCAGTGCCTCACCACCCTCTGAATTAATTTCTTCCTAACACCTGATCTAAATCTCTCCTCTTTTACATGTAGTTTAAAGCTGTTCCCCCTTGTCCCATCTCTATCTGCCCGTCTAGAAAGTCTCTCCTCTATCTTTTTTATAGGTCCCTTTTAAGTACTCAAAATCTGCAATGAGGTCTCCCCAGAGCCTTCTCTTTTCCAGGCTGAGAAACTCTTGCACTTTCATTCTTATTGGACTTATTCAAGCTCATCAGGTTCGTGCTGGACAACTTCTCAAGCTTGTCTAGGTCCCTTTGGATGGCATCTCTTCCTTCTGTTGTATCAACTGCACCACTCAGCTTAGTGTCAAACTTGTTGAAGGTGCACTCAAATCCATGGCATGTGTCATTGATAAAGATATTAAACAACACCAGTTCCAGTGTGGACCCCTGAGGGACACCACTCTTCACCAGACTCCACCTAGATATAGAGATATTGACCACAGATCTCTGGATGCCCTTCAAATTTCTCTACAGTTTAGAGATAAGGATGTTGTGTGGGATTATGTCAAAGGCCTTACATGTAGATATATAAGTTTGTCTTCCCTTGTTTTTTAATATAGTTATTCCAATGCCTGATCAGGCAGTTACTCCATCATTAGTCTGTGTGGTTAAAATCCCCCATCAGGACGAAAGACTACACATGTATGTAACTACATGTTACATGTATGTTACATACACATGTATGTAACTTCTTGTAGCTGAAGCAAGGAGGTCTCTTCAACACTCTCCCCTTAATCACACAGCCTTTAGTAAAACCCAATCACAAGGTGTCCTTAATTTTTACCCACTTTTCTTTTTCTTTTTCTTTTTTTTTTCTTTTTTTTTCCTTTTTTTTTTTTCCTTTTCTTTTCTTAGAGACAGTTCTTTGCAACTTAGCAATTTCTTAACAGAGAGTAATACCCCCAACCCTCCTTGTCTGTCTGTCTCTTCTGAAAACCTTGTAGCCCTCAATTGCAGTGTTCCACTTGAGTAATTCAACCCACCATGTTTCTGTGATAACAATTAGTTCATAGATTTCTAATTGCACTGTGGTTTCCAACTCATCCAGTCAAATTTAGGTTCTGACACATGTTAATAGTACCACAGCTAGATCATGACTACTGAGAACATCTGATCAGAAATGGATGATTCTCAGCATCAGTAGAGGAGAAGAAAAAAAGCAAAGCAAAATAAAACATTGACATAATAAAAAATTGACAAAAGACAGACAGAATAAGAGAATAAATGGACGTTAATATAACAGCCTCATATGATTAAGGAGTCTGTAAGAAAACTAATGATAATCAGTCTAAAAGCTCTGTAGAACAACACCAAGGCACTGTTAGTTGGAACCTACACTTACCTGGTAATATTATCCCTCAGTAGTTGCCCTGGAGTCCTAAAGTCCTACAACCCAAAATAAAAATAAATGTTACAAAATGAAAATTATTAGTTATTGAAAAGTTATGCAGTAATGACAAACTGGTAAAAATTTGTCAAATTTTGAACCTGGTAATCAAATTTACTTACCTTTAAACTCTACACCTACATAAAAACAATCTTTTCTGAAATCACAAAACAGATGAGTGATACTGCATCACACACTACCGCACATCATCTAATGAGTTGCCAATTATAGGAGAGCATTTTACAGTAAGATAGTAACTATATGCTAACTCCATTGGAAACTAGGATAGCTCTACAACAAGCCTGACCTACTGCTATGGCATTATAACTTTAAAACATGGTCAGTCAGTAACTTATGTCCAATGGGTCTCAGAATGGCAGTTATAACTGTTTGCGTATTTGCTACATCAGTGTCAATAATCATTATTACTCATGCAGTTTCTTCCCTACAACCGTCTTATGATTGCTGAGAGGAACCAAAGGTTTTGATATTCTTTACCTGAATATATCTGGTAATTTTGCCCTCAGTTAAATACAGTGGCTCTTCACAATGGAAGATATTGAGAAGTGAGAAGACTTTTCTGAAGTTTAAATTGTTTCTTTCTATTCATACAAAAGGAAACAAGATTTTTTTTCTTCTTGTTATTGAAAAACTGTGCATCTGCTTCTGATACAGCAATCACATTTCACATGAAACAGTCCAGAACTAGGCACAAGAGAAACTTAATTTTAATAACAGCAAACTAACCTTGAATTTTCAGCTGAATTCTTTAGTTAAGATATTCCAAAAGCAAATAATATGCTTTTTTTTTTTTTTTTTTTTTTTTTTTTTTTTTTTTCCTTCTCTCTCACAGCAGGAAAATTTGGAAAGGTTATGTTCAGAGACAAATTAAATTTTAAGAAAGGGCATCTTGGCTCTCCCAGCCACGAAACTAAGACAAGAAGCATTGTGTGTGACTGCCTAGGTTAATCAAAAGGGTTTAATTATTTTTCTAGATGAAATCATGATTGTTTCTACTAAGTGCCTAGATTCTGTGAGAGAGGAGAGTGAAAGATATCTATTTCTCCAAGCTATGAAGGTGCTGGTGAGCAGACAACAGGCAGGAAAAACTATGACTAAATACACCAAAAGAACAATAGCTAAAAGCAGTTGTGAGAGAATATTTGAAACCCACAGATAACTTTGGAAAAGCTAAAGGAGTTGTATCCTGGAAGATGTACAAAGGAAGAAAGGCCTATAATTATCTTGATACTTTCTAGCAACACAGGGTTTAGGCAGTAAAAACAATCAGCTTGATTGATAGAAAACAGCTGAGATGGAAATAGAGTCCAAACTGTTCACCTGATTCAGTCAGGTGTTTAATGTTTAAAATCCCAGGCCAAGCTGTCTCCAGCATAGACTAGGGTCCTGAGATACTCATTTTAATGGCTTCCCAATGTTATGGAACTTCCAGTTCTACATAACGTAAAATATTTAAAAGATAATGCAAGTTAAAAGAGTAGTTCTCCAAAAATATTGTTGGAAGAGAAATATAACTCTTAAGTGTAAATACAGTACCAGGTAGGTTGGTCTGTCTTCACAGGATATGAAGCTCTCTGACACTGATTACAGAGGAATTTGAGGGAAATGAAATACCAGTATACCTCTGATATGCATAGAGGACAGGTTTTGGCTGAGAAAAACATGTTCACTGTGATTGCAGGTTTCTAAGTAGGAAAGTAAATCTTAGAAGAAGGAGGTGTTTCTGCAGCTAGTTTATGGAAACAAAATGATGACACTTTGGAGAATCTAAGTAAAGATACTAGACAGGAAAAGAATGAGTTGGTAAGGCAAGTGGATCTAAACAGCTCTTGATCCATAAGGAATTATAGTAAGTTAAAGTAATAATAATAATAATAAAAAGGTAAGTTAAAAAGTTGCAGAGGACTAGGATCCAGGCACTGTGGGTAGCTTCTTACAATGTAAGGTATCTTACAGTGTACAGGTATCTTACACTGACACTGACAGTCAGATCATGAGGACAGAGAGACAGAAGAATTTGAAACAACAGAATAAAACTTCTAGTGAAGGAGCTATTTTCATTTGCTCATCTTCTTGCAAATTGAGGTTTTTATATTTTATTGGTTTGCTACCTTTCAAGTCATAACACATGCAGAAAAAAAATGACTTAACTAGATTATTTGATTATTATTTTTCAATTTCTTTGCAAACTAACTTGCTGTGGCAGATAATGGTCTGCCTGAAAATCTGTTTTTTCAGTCCTCTGACAGGAGCCACAGTGAAACTGGGAGAGGTCAAAAGAAGTCAGCTGCCATTTTCACTCCCATTTTTTATGGAAATGGGCAACAGATTGGTGAAGACATTGCGAAGGCTCTAAGGCAATCACTCTTTCAATTTGTCCAATATTAGTTTCAATAAGAACCGAGAACAGAAACAATTGCCAGCAGTCCCTAGTTGATTTGTTAAGACTCACTCTTGTCCACTTCAAATCACCTTTGACATTTACGAGCTCAACTTTGCAAACATCATTTGAGGATTATTATTTTATTTGATGCCTCTATTATGCTTGCACCTAAGCTACACAATGCTAAAAGTGATGTGAAAAAAAGTGACTTTTTTTTTTTTTAACACATCTACTTGTGGAAAAGAATGAAGTTTTTGCTGTTATATACAGGACCAATACCTCCACCATTACACATGTAAGATAAATTAGTTTGAGAAGATTTATGTGTGTATATCCAAAGTGAATTTGAAAAAAAGAGAGATCTAATTTGGAAGACATTTATAATAAGACTACCATATTGCTAGCATATTGGCCTTCCCCTCTACCTACTTTCCTATATAAAAACTATCTTCATAGAGCTCACAGTGTATTAGAAACAAAAAAATGTTAAAAGAGAACATCTAAATCACTCTAGGTTTTCTTTCTTTGCAACATGCAACAGGTTGCATGTAACTCTGCACTGTAGAATCTCAGGAACAAGAAGAAAGATAAAGCTGCAAAGCAAGGTAAATATGGTATTGACAAATAGTCCTGGAAGAGAAACTCTCAATGTGATTACGATTCTAGCGCAGGTACTTTAGAGGCTGGAAGGAAATTTCTGTCTGGGTGAGAAAATAATATTAATGTGGGAAAGATGCTGTTCAGTAACTAGTGCATATTCTTGCAGACAAGATGCCACTTAGCCTGGAGCAAAAATTGTACAACACGTGGATTCTGCCTACTGTCCATGAAAATGGAAAATCATTTGAACGCAAATGACAAAAGAGTGGAACAGGCAATGCTGGGGACCGCATTTAAGGAAATCCGAACTGTGTGGGTTTGGTAAAGTACAGCATGTCTACAATGGATATCTCTGCTGGAATGCAGAGATAGCTGGGCTGGCTTTAAACAGTTAGAAACCTAGACAGGTTATGGCACAGGTCATCCTACATGTAATTAAAAGAAAAGAAATGCACTCAAGGAAAGTTAGCATTTTTGTTAGGATTTGCACACAACTGTTAGAGAAAAATAGTCTTGTAGCTCCTCTGTGAGAGGAAAAGTTGAAGATGGAGGTAAGCCAGAGTGACCAGAATTTATAAATTTATAAATAAATTCTGGACACAACCCTTAGATTATTAAATCTGACATGCCTTGCGAGTACCTAAAAACAATAACTTTTAGGCATTATGAAAATGCTTACTTGGAGTTGTTTTAGCAGAGTTTTTGTCTGTGTATGTTTAAAACTGTATTTAAAAGTTTATTCAAATACTATAATGTAAAAAGTAAATAAATCTGAAGTGTGTAGAACTAATAGTAATAAAAAGGTGAAGACCTTTCCTCTCTGCTTGGTTGGGTGCAGAATAGCATGCTTTAAAGAATTAACCATCAAATACTCAGTGTGTGTAAAGCTTTTCCCATTGGTTGCAAGTAAGCTACAAAAATTCCTATTGACTTCACTGAAGAAGGATCAATCCCACTAACATCTTGATGTTTGCTCCCACTTACGTTATTTTTTCTTTCCTCCCATTTACTTTTCACTTGTGACTTTAAAATATAAGTGACAATGAAGTATTGTCTCTATAGTGTATAAATGGGAGCTTATTTCCTGCATTTACTCTGGTTTTCTTAGGGGAAAGGGGATTTATAGTTAATAACAAATCCTGTTCCACATTTGGATTATTCCTGTGTATAGTAAAAACTCCTTGAATTTCAAATAATGCCAATTTCCATTCCTTCAGCTGGAGAGGCAGTGGGAACTCTGGTGCGTGCTTTTTATCTCAGAATTGTAAGTGCTATGGTAAAGGACTCAGCCATAAATAATCTCGTGTCACCAAAGCTGGTGATAAGCAAATGCTTACTGAAAAGCCCTGCTCCCTAATCTTCGCAGACCCATCACATCACACTGAGACAGTCTCCACAGCAGGTGAGTTGCAGTGACCACTTGAAGGCACAATGGGTATGGCCGTCCCAGTCTTTGATCCCTTTGCATTGCTGTATGGAAATAGCATGGAAATCTTCACCACCCTTGACTGCTGCCAGTAATGGATATGGGCATATGGAGAATGGTTAAACTGATTATCAAAACTGTTTACAGTATTTTATCAGATGGCAGCAACTTTCAAAAAAAAAAAAAAAAAAAAAAAGCTGAACAGTATCAAACTTCCAACCCAACATTACATAATCAGAAAAATACAGAGAAACACGGTCTTGATTTTTGAGAATATGTTTCTTCTAAAAGATTTTTTTCAATAAAGGAAAATGAACAGGAAGAATATTTTGAAACTCCAGCAAGCAAATTTATTTAAAAATATGACAAACTTGGATATAAGCAGAAGTAATGTTTGTCTGCTATTATATTCTTTTTGTTTAATGTATTTGCCAGGTTTCTTTCTGGGACATCCATTATTACAGTATACTAATATTCACTTAATCCTACTGCAACTAATTATATGTCCCCCTTCACAAGTCTCTTACTTTCTGCCTATAAAATTAGACCTAATTAAATATATAAATGTT